AAATTTGATTAAAAAAAAGACCAGATTTTCGACCAAAAATTCGCCTAAAAATGTAGTCTCATTTTTTTATTGTTTTTCACTTTAAGATATAGTTAAATTTTGCTAAAAACACGAGTGCAATACCTACTATTACGTTACTAGGCATTTCGGGACTTAGGAAAACAAGCGGAATAATAATGCCCCCGATAATGCGAAAGAACCGCATTTTTGACCTGATTCGTATTTAGAAGAAAGGCTCCTGCTTCCGGAAACAGAAATTTCCCCGTGGACGGGCAAGCGAAAGCCTGACAAATGTAATTTTATTAAATTTAACTCGGAAGAGCCATTAGGTAATCGCTTCGAGTGGTGATGTTGGTGCTCGCCTGTTTCAACGGGGCTCATCTCGTTCGACAACTTTTTCGGCAAGTCGGCCCGCGAAAGGAAGACAAAACCTGTCACGAATTTAGAAAATCGTTTCGACCCACGGCTAGAGAAGGAGCACCTCTTTGTCGTCGCCGCCAACATCTTGTTGAAGCTTTTCCTGTACTTGATTTGCTTGTGGTGGGTGAGGCGCTTGTTTTCTTCAGTCATTTTTAGGCGGAACGACGTGGAACAGATTAAAGTGCTTTCGAAAGATCAGAAGACAGATATTCTAACGAATTCTACGGCCCTGGTCTTTGCGCTATTGACGGCGTATGTTAACCAGGTAGAGCTTTTTGTAAATTGCACCAAATCATTGCGCAAATCCAGATTTGCGACATATTCGGCGCGGTCATCATCTTCGTGTTGATCATCTACAATTGGCTGCCGATTTTGCTGGTGAATTCGAACAAAATCCAGGGCATCCAGGCTTCTGACTGGAGGGTGGCGGCTGTGAAAGAGGTGGGCAAAAGAAGGATAAAATGATAAAAATTAGGCTCTTGCCGAAGTTGACGGCTGTCAAATACAGGATTTTCTGGTGTATCACGCTGGAGAAGGGTGTGTGGCTGAGGTTTGTCAATATTATTTGTATAGAAAAAGATTAAATTTCAGGTTCGTTGTGCAAAAACGGGTGCTACAGATCTTCGAGGAGCCATTACTGCCAAACTGCAAGAATTGGACTGGGTTAGGGCTGTTTTTGTGCAGATCATCGATGAGAAAAACGTGAGTTTTGCGTGACTACATCTTTTAATAGAGACTTTAAACACTTTGTATATTGTTTTTGGCGCTTTCGCTTTTTATCGGGGGGGTGGGTGCGAATTTTTCCTATTCGTCCAGAAATGCCTAGTAACTTGATGATCAGGACTAGTTTTTACTATTGTTTTTAGTAAAATTTAACCAGATTTCAAGTGGGAAATCAATAAGAAAAGTGAATTTTGGAATTTTGGTTGAAAACCGGTCATTTTTGGTGGCAAAATCTTATATTTTTGATTTTTTAACGAAAATCGTAAAAAATTTTGGGTGTCTAAAAATCGTAAAAAAACTATTTAAGAACACTTTAGCTAATTTAACTTAAAAAATGCGCGAGTTCTTGGGTTTATCGGTTTTTAGGAGAAGCTCACCGCGGACCGCCGATGTTCCAACACGACGGCAATCGGTTACATCGGACGATAGGGGAAAGTTGTTGGGTGAGGCCGAGGATATGGTGTGAATTTTGGCGAATAAATCTGGTCACACAATTCGAAATGAGCCTTCAAAAACAATCAACGACACTACGGGATCGAGGGGGAGAATGGACAATATACGACAGAGCCGCGGTGGGAGAGTTCGGCTCCCCTGATCCCCGTTTTATTATCGATAACAGCCATGTAAATGGGAGTTGACTAATTCGCGGAAAAGCTGTAAATCAAATTTTAGAACATTTTCTGGGGTTTTAAAATGGTTTCGTACTTGAAATATAGCTACATTTTTTTCCAGTAATCCTGTACGATCCTATAAAGAAATCAAAACTGTTTTTATAGCATTTCATACGGTTTTGATGAAACATAAAAAAGCTCCCAGTAACATGGTATATACCCGAATTTTCGAAAATGATTTTTTTGGTCAAAAATTAGGAAAATTACCAAAAGGTCAATATTTTCGAATGTTTTCTGTTTTCTGTGTAACTGTTCAACCCTCAAAAACTGTTAAAAACACGGCATGAAAATACGCCATTTACTATTAGCATACTATTAACAGGTAGGTATAGGCCGGAAGAAGGAAAAATGGGTTTCCCTCGCTATGCCCTCCACCCCCGGCTAACAGTCCAGTACCAAAAATGTTTGCAGAATCTCTGTAGCGTGAACGGCACTTTCTAGGCCCACGAGAAAAATTTGGATTGCCATAAAAATCAAGATCCAAAAAAAAATTTCAAACAGGGTCCATCGTGAAATTTTCGCATTTCCGGCCCTAACCTTGTAAGCTAAACCCCGAGCAACCTTATTTGCCAAATTCCTCGCAAAGTATTGAGTGTTGCTGGGCAATGACATTGTGATTCCCACCGTAGCCCTCTTCCGAATCTTGGCTATCAGATGTCGACCAAGCCCTCCCCGATATTTCGCGGCTCAGATTATTTACTCCTGGCCTCGCCGCCGGGGCCCATATTCTCACGGTTCCCATTTATCAAGCCGGCCCCCAGCCAATCCACCCGATCGGCCCATTCATTTGCTACAAGTTGCCCCCCAGTCGGCCGGCCGGAGGGACTACGGTAGTTTCCTATAAAGTGCTCCAAACTGGCGGCTAGACTCCATTTTACTTTTTTATCCCCCTTTACCCCCTAGGGCCCCCCACCCTCCCTTGGACTTTTATCCTCAATTTAAATAAATATTTTTTATTTTTTTTGGTAAATAAAAAAAAAAATTTTTTAAGTATATCGGTCTGGGGCCCCCCACCACCCCCCACCCCGTTGGGCTTGTCCCCTATAAATTGCTTAATTTCAGCGCGGTAACTCCGGTATAAACTGTTGTTTTCTGCAGCGAGCCATTTGGTTGTTCTAAGCGTTTGCGATATTGCACCCGATGTACCGTACCCTCTGAGATGAGCTTCAACATCGATGAATTACTCCGCCGGGCTAGTAAGTTTATAACAATTCATTTTTTACCATTTCGGCTATCTGTTAGTAAAAAAAATAGCGTATTTATCTGGTTTTTAGGAGTTTTTGGTTTAGAAAATTTGCCCAATATGCTTCAATAGTATAGAAATGAGACCGTTTAAAACCATTTTTAAAGGGATGCCGACGGCATAGTCAATCGGTTACGCGTTGGAAGGAAAATGCCTTGCGCCTCTCCCCAGGGCGCCCTCTGCCCCCTTGGCTACTTGCCAATTTGTTGATGGGGGGGGATCGACACATGCCGTCGGCAGCCCTTTAACCAAAAGATCAAAATAGCTACCCCAAGCCAAGTTTTTTGTTTAAAAACACAGAAAAATTCCATAAAGATCGTTTACCCCCGCTAAAAGACAAGCGCACGAAAACGATACTCCCCTTTTTTAGCAGAAACGATCCATGCGCAACCCGGCAGCCGTGATTCCGAGGATTCAGATGGCTCCGAGCCCGCCGAAGAGGCCTTGGATCTCCACCAACGGCTTTTCCAGCTCCCAACATTGCCATTAATGCCTCCACATTCTCTTTTTCGTACGCTGATAGGAATTTAGAGTAGCTTATGCTTTTTAGCCCTTCCCCCACTGCCGCTGCTTCCATTTCCGCCTCTTGGCTTACACAACCCGGTCAACCCATCGCTTGGGGAGCTGCAAATGTTACTGGGATTGCGAGGTACCTTTAAAATAGCCAAACACATTAATAAATAATTCGTACATTCTAAAAGTTTTGCAGTATTTTAACTTTTCGAAAAACTTGAGTTTTTCAAAAATTTGTAAATTTTTGCGAGTTTTAGAGTTTTTTTTAAGTCGTAAAATGGAAATGCCTTGTAAATGGTCGTTTTAGTACTCATAGTTTCTATATTCTGCGAATTTTAATCGTTTTGAGTGATTTGAACAATTGTGGGGCAATTTTGAATGTCAAGAATATGGTTTTGCGTATGACTTTTTAAGTAAAAAATGAGAAATCTCAAAAACCGATGATTTTTATGACTTTTGGAATTTTTTCAATGCCTGTAGCTTTAAATAAACTGAAAATCCTAATGTTTAGATTTTATACAATCTAGATCTTTTGAAAGTAGCTTACTCCAAGTTTTTTAGCCCGAAAACACGAATACCATCGCGGTCGGAAGGCGACCGTCGAGCGCAAGCCGCGACAGGCCTATTCCGCGCGACAACTCGACACGTTAGAGCGGGAATTCCAGGTGGAACCCGGAAATATGACTAACCTAATCGATATTTAGCGCGACAAATATTTATCGGTTGGAAAACGTGTGCAGCTGTCACAATCGCTGGCGCTCACCGAGACCCAAATCAAGACGTGGTTCCAGAATCGAAGGTGGGAGGCGCAAAGATTTCAAAAGATACAACAAAAGATAGAGAATTTAACTCGCTATCAACTGGGCTGATTGACAAAGCTGTAATCTTGTGGTAACCGTACGAAAACGACAAAAACCGTTCTGGAATGAATAGCCTTTAGTAGAGTGCGGCTTATTCAAATCAAATCGCGACTCAAACCGGTTTGATTTGAATTAGAGTGCGGCTTATTCAAACCGGGTTTGAACAAGATTTCCGTTATTCAAATCAAACCGGTTTGATTTGAATACGGGATCCTTATTCAAACCAAACCCGGTTTGAATAAGGATTCCCAACTCAAACCAAACCAAACCGGTTTGAATAATTTGAACACCAGCGGGGGAGGAGCCGCTTCGCGACTCTCCCCCGCTGGATCCCGTCTAGGCCCTATTAATCGAGCGCCCTTCCACATTAAGTTGCCTTGAAGAAAGAAAAACCCAGCTTTCATGCAAACCTCTTTGTATTGGCATGCGGCGCAAGCTTGAAATGCTAGTCTCGGGATTAGGCCTGCGGCGCATGTTTGATCGGCTAGGTCGCTACCTCATCCTGTGGCCCAAGCTTGAGGGATTAGCCTCCTTTTTTGGCCTGATTAAGATTAAGATTAAGCCTGCCGCGCAATTTGAACGGTTACCTCCTTCTTTAAGCCTGCGGCGCTAGCTTCAATGGTTGGCTTTATTCCTTAGCCTGCGGCGCTAGCTTGTGCGGCTAGCTTCATTCTAAAGCCTGCGGCGCTAGCTTGTGCGGCTAGCTTCGTTCTGAAGCCTGCGGCGCTAGCTTGTGCGGCTAGCTTCGTTCTGAAGCCTGCGGCGCTAGCTTGTGCGGCTAGCTTCATTCTAAAGCCTGCGGCGCTAGCTTGTGCGGCTAGCTTCGTTCTGAAGCCTGCGGCGCTAGCTTGTGCGGCTAGCTTCGTTCTGAAAGCCTGCGGCGCTAGCTTGTGCGGCTAGCTTCCTTCTAAAGCCTGCGGCGCTAGCTTGTGCGGCTAGCTTCGTTCTGAAGCCTGCGGCGCTAGCTTGAGGTATTAGCCTGAATCTTTAGTCTGCGGCGCTAGTTTCAGTGCCTAGCTGGATTCGTTAGCCTGCGACGCAGTTTAGAGCGACTGACTTCAGAATAGCGCCTCCCTACAGGAAAATACACTTCGAAACATGCATTCCGGAGCATAAAGCAAAAAGAATACGATGGCCGGGGATCGAACCCCCGATAGCAAGATTGGCAGGCTGACGCTCTAACCGCTTTACCATGAAATGCTTGAGAGCGCGCGCAACAGCCCTTGTATCCCCGAGGTGACTGCCGGAAAGGGAGCAAAGGCAATCGGAGGCAGCTCCAATGAGGCAGCCAAACTCGCGAGTGCAACTGGCAAGAATGAGGAAATTTGTATTTTCTCGCATTATGCAAATTAGCCCTCCCGGACCCCCAAAAATGGATAAAACCGGCCTTAACTTTGTAAACTTGTATTTTATCGAAATTCTGAGAACGCCATCGGCAACAGAAGGGTCGATTCCCCCCGGTGACGGAGAATTAGGGCATTTTGGACACGGGAACGCCCTCAAATCGGGCCTCGAAAGTGACATCCACACACACACACACACATACGCGACCAAATTATATAAGGTGGGAAGGTTTGAATAAGAACCAGTCTCCGAAACAGTCTGTTTTCGGTACCATTTTTGCGTTTTGGCACCAATCCTTTTGTGACTTCACTTTAGGGTGATTCAGCAGCAGTCCTGCCAGGTTTTTGGGTAGCGGATCATTTCGAGACCTTTTTCTTTCAGCGCTGCCAAGGTTATCCCGACCATTTGTATGCTTGTGAAAGGTTGTGAATGCCAAGCCTTCGTTGAAAAAGTGCGTAGACCCCGTAAATTTCATCATTATATTGATCACACAAGGTTTTATAAGGGATGCCTCGAAAACTTAGCCGATTAGCATCCATCCAATCGATTAACATGCTGATTTGCCTGTTGTTCAAACCAATTCAAACCAACTCAAACCTGGCCGGTTTGGTTTGAATAACGGATCCTTATTCAAACCAAACCGGTTTGATTTGAAAAGCATATTCTTATTCAAACCGCCCTTATTCAAATCAAACCGGTTTGAGTCGCGATTTGATTTGAATAAGCCGCACTCTAATTTGAATAAGGGCGGTTTGAATAAGAATCTGCTTTTCAAATCAAACCGGTTTGGTTTGA